AATTTTTAGCAAATTTACTTGATTTTAGAGATAGCAAAAACCTTTAAATTTATGCAGATCAATTATGACCTATATTAAAGATGTCCGGGGTCCTGTATAAACCAATAAAAGATTACAAAAAATTTTATTGCATAATAGCATTTGAATTGTTTAAAAGGAGTTAGAAATAAGTATTTTATAATGTATTATACTAATACACTATATATCAGTTCTAGTGAGAAATCACTTGGCACTTATTTTGTGATCTTACAAATTTATTTTGTGCTAGTATGCTTTTAATTTGTTATTTGTGTTATTTCATAAGTAAGTACTATAGCTTTTTGACAAAGTTATTTTAACCGGTCTATGACAACTCAACCCTGCATTGTTCAGAAAAAATGAACTGGTTTATTTTTGCTAATATAAATGTAACTCGGATACTGATCTCTTGTAAGTTAATTCAATGAAAATAACAATTATTTTTCTTTTTTTTTTTTATAGAGAAAGCACTAGGGCCTCATCTCTTTGATTATTTTAAGTTTAAGGCTTCGTTTTTCATCAGAAGAATTTGAGGTTTCGACTTTCACCATTATGCGAAAAAGGTTTTATCTAACAGCTATAGTCTAAATTACATAATGTGTATTACTAGAGTGGCAAATAAGTTTTGTATCAAGATTTTTTACACCCTTTATAAACATAAAATATACAAAGTCTTAATTACACTTATTTATTATATATATAATTTTAGTAATTATTATAACTTTATGTTTCGTAATTTATTTTTATTCACATTATCTTTAATAATATTTATCTGCTTCATCATCTATTATCTTCTATTAGTTTTGTCATCTTTGTAGTTTCATCAGTTTTTTTATCTTTTGTCACCTTTTATCAGTTTTGATACCTTTCATCAGTTTCGATACCTTTCGGCAATTTTGACATTTTGTTATTTGAGATTTTAATTAATAAAAGTTGAAACTAGGTTTTAACTTTCGTCAGCACGAAACCTCAAGGTTTCGTCTAACAACTATAGGTTCAGCTCTTCTTCTCTTAATAGAAGAAAAACTTACTTATAAGCCAGGACTATTTGAATTTCCTTATGAACCTGCAATTGTTAATACAGAATTGGTTTATGTGCTTAAAGGAGAGAAAAAAATTGTGTACTGCCTAACAAAACCCAGTATAGACATATAATAATAACATATGAGTCCATTATATACAATATTGCTTGTAATTATACTTTAATAAAAGTATTACTGAAGTTATCATTGAAGACGCAATTGAATCTGTCAAACAAATCAAAGCTTTTCTTAAAATATTAATGATGGATAAAACATCAGGTACCCATTAATTTATAAGGCATAAATGATCCAGCTTCTTTAGATTGAGATTATATAAACTTGCAATTACAGGAGCTTTAGATAAAAAAGAAGTTAAATCTATTTTAAAATAGACTATCAAAGAATTATTAGAAGCCATACTTGAACATCTACCTAATACTTTACCTTGGTCTAAAATTGTTAAAAAATTTGAAAGAAGATCTCCTCATAGGACGAATAATAGTTGCCGTAAATCAATAGTCGCGTAGAAAGGAAAAGAGGCTGGTTGCTTGGTTATTGAAAAATCAAAATTAATAATAAGTTTAATAATTGTGAACTTGTAACATCTTTGTTTTATAATACGCATATTAGTATTTTATTATGAAAAACTAGTATTATTGTAGTAGTTAAAGTCTGAATTATCGACCAAGTTTATGTTAAAAAATCGGCTTAGTCGACTAAGTAATAAAGCATTGATCCTTTATCAAAGAAATTCAAGATGCAAATATTGTAAATAGAAACAGGATTTAAGTGGATTTGGCTAACTATGTATATTTTGTATTAAAGAAATAATATAGTGCAGAGACTCGCATTAAATGGTTTAGGATTCGCGTACTCCCTTCTTTGAAAGCATGTCATATATATAAAAGCATTATAACAGAGGGTGCAATTGTCAACTACTTTGCTAAATCTTTAATTTTTTTAAAATAAATTTATAATATAATTTTATTTAGAATTAATTTAGAATTAACTGGTAGTGAAATTTACTGGCCTAAGAGTTTTTAGGGTTAGAGTATTAAGAATTATTATTTTTTATATAAAATAATATAAAGCTAATATAAGGTCCTGATCTCAGTTTTTGTAAGGTTTCTACTTAGTACACTTTTGAGATATAGCTATAGATGCTGGTGAAATATGGTGAAATAGTTTCACCACTATTTGGTAGTAAATTGGTGAAATTGGTGAAATTAATTTTACCAGTATCTATAGATATAGCACCCTGGTGAATTTCACCTCTAGTGAATATTAAAATTATTCTTTTATTTAATTTATATAAAAATTTTATTTATATTTTTTAAAAACTATTAAACAGTTTTAATTATAATTTTTTTATTTTGATAAGTGTTTGAATTTTTTAAAACTTTGAATGAAGATATCTCGACAACTATCTTATCGAATTTTTTATTTTGATTATATGTGTTTAGACGATTCAAATAAAAAAATTTTCATCAAATTTGGTCAAGTGGTTGTTAAGATATTTTCACTCAAAAGTTTTAAAGAAATTTAATATATAGGCATTTGGAGTTTTTTTTTAAAACTTTGAACAAAGATATCTTGACAACTACCTGATAAAAAAACCTTATCGAATTTGGTCAGGTGATTGTCGAGATATCTTCGCTTAAAGTTTTTGGTTTATTAAGAGTATAAATAATAAATATAAGGTATCTATAAAAACTAGCCCCAAAAAATATATAGTTCAAGCAATATAATCTTAATAATATAGTAGTTTAAATAATTTTTTTTAACTAATTAAATTTGATATAGCTAATTTAAATTAATTAATCAAATTTAATTAAAAATATACAATAACTTTTTATGTTATATCAAAGATAGCATTTATATATACTGTAAAACTAGTTATATTAGCACTTTTAAATATATTATACTGTAAATTGTCAAACATACAAAATGTATTTTTTGCCAAAAGAAATTTACTACTATTTTTATAGAAACTAGTCTTATTTGTAGTTCTGTATCGGTATTATCTACTACAACTTGACTAGCTAAACTACTTCTATTAAATAAAAATTGAGCCAGATGCTTAGAAATAAATTTTATACAAGCTAATTCTATTTTTAGTATAAAAGATTATCTTATTTCTAAAATTTAGATAGCATCTAATTACATTATCAGTAGTAAATCTAGAATCATCTAAATTACCATATGGCTCACCACTTTCTGAGCAAAATGAATATTCATTGTAGCCACACCCCCAAGTTTATTTTTCTTGATTTTTTTATTTTTGATATTTGCTTATATTCCTGCCCTAAAAAATATAATATGTATAGATGTTAATCTATATTATATAATAAGAAAATAAAATAAAAATTACTAATACCAAGCATAAGCATATTATTTATATAATCTAAATCAGCTATTTTTTTATCGCTTTGCTTTGTGCAATATCTGATTACAATTATTGTATAAAGAAATAGAATTAAAAAAAATCACAAGAACAAAAATAGTATTTTTTTTTTTTTTAACTTTGGCATATCTTGCCAGGTATTTATTTTAGTAATTAATTCATATGTACAAATGATGCTAGCTAACTAACATAGATAGTAAGTGATAAACTCTAAGCCTGTCGGCAAATAGTATATAAGAACTATTTCTAAACGACAGATGCCAGTACCGTAGAACTAATGATTATAAGAATTGAGTTTTCATTTAGTTCTGTTTCTTTATAATTACTTATATAAATTATTTATTAATAAAAATATAAGCAAGGTCTTACCTTTTAATAAAAAAATAATAATAATAATAATTAAAAGGAATCAATGATCACTTGGACCAAAAATCTTACTAACAAAAAACCTGAAAAATTTGTTAGAGAGTTGTAGCCTACCAGTGGTTTGTCTAGAGGTCAATTTACTACTATAGGGGACTTCTCTATAAGGAATATTTAGCATGCAAGCCAAGAGTATTATTATACAAGATAACTGGCTTGTATAAAAAAAAGCTTTTAGATCATTACTTCAAAGAAGAACACAGAGAAAACAACAAATTTTATATTTTTTGAAAGCTGCACTCCTTTTTTTGTCTCAAGTGGCTCCTTTAGTACTTATCTTCGCTTTTCTGTCGGTCTTTCAAATTTTTTTGCAAAAAGTGGGAATTTGGCTTACCTCTTCCAAAAGATTAGCATTGTTTACATTCAAATTCGGATGAACTCAGTATAATAAACTAATGTGTCTTGTTTATTAAAAGATACAACGTTACTTTACGTGACTTGGACCAGGTAACAGGTAGCTCTCTACATGTCTTGAATTGGGGTTTCAGGTTAAAGATATTCCTAGATTTGGTTGTTAGTTGAAAGGTATATTTTAAGGCTTGGCTTTACAATTGAGATATATAACGGTTGTAGTTGATATATAATTTTTATGTTAACTTGGCACAAGTTATAATATAGTGCGGACAACCTAGTCCCAACCAATATAATTGATGAAATTCAAATTGCTAATCCTTTTTTAAAAAAAATAGTAAA